GAAGCAAAAAACAAGGAGGTAAGGCGTGCTTTTTTCTGGTTTTTGGAAGAAATATCGTATCCAAGACAGTAGTCGGTCGCAAGGTGGACACAAGTTTCTCGTGCGTGTAAAGTACGAGGGCGCAATCGCATAAAACAGAATGCGGCGCTTTAAAAGGTCTTATGCAGCCCCTGCTCGTGCTACACGTCCTACGAAATTATATGCATAGGGGGAAATGCCGCCGAAAGGAAAAGGAAGGAGTAGAAGAAGGGAAGTTAAAAAAAAGGGGTGAAAAGAAGAAGGACCGGGTATTAAGAGGTGCTTTTAATGTAAACGAGAGTGCAATCAAACCAAAAATGCAATAAAACACTTTAGGCGAAAGTACGGCCATATTGTCTCCACACTATTGATAAATGTAAAATGAACGTAAGGAAAACGCACGGATCTTGCACTTTCAGCGGGCGTTTATGACTATTCGAGGGTCGTTTGCGCATATACCTACTGCCGCTCACGTAATACTTCTACGACAAAAATTAACACTTCTTATGTCACTCTTCCGGAAAGCATGGCGCACTTACGCACCTTACAAACGGATTGCTACCATTTCCACTCTTCCACCTCTACGGCCTGTGCGACTCTCATCTACGGAAAAAACACAAAAGACGTATGATGAAAGGAAAACGTGCGGCAGGTTGAGACTGAGGCTTTACATATTCTTTTATTCCTTGAAATACCTACATGTCCTAAATAAGCAAACTGCAACTGCAGCAATAAGGTAACAATGGTTTTGGAGTCTTCACCCCCGTTGTGACATTAGTTCATAATATGAGATTAAATATAAGATTAAAACTGTCTGTGATAACCGGGTATCCCTTGTGATTTGATGAAGTGATTAAAGGTGATACTGCTGGTTTAGTGGGTGCAGGATCCCGTCCTAACGTCTGGGAGATGAAGGTCCATTACGGTATATGAGGAAGGTGGTTTGTGATCCACGTCTACAGAAAAAAGTCCCCTGAAATTAAACACTCTTATGTATGTTGCAGGTAGATGAATGTGCTTAATATCAAAGGAATCATATAAAGCTTTTATCGGCTTTACTAAAAACTCCAATGTTTTATATTTGAAATGTACATTTATTTTGTATAATTATAGTGTTTTGGCTAAGTTCTTACAAGTTCGGATCAAAATAAAACATTTATTACCTGACAATAAAATAAGCAAAAGGGGGATACAGTAAATGTTATTTTGCCTGTTACGCTACTAAAATACCATTTCCTTTCTCAGCATTGTAAAATGATCTTACAGCCCTCGTACAGTTCTTTCTCTCACCGATTGTATAATTTTGGACTTTCTTCTTTACTTTTATCTTGTTTTTGGGATTTAAATTGATTCCGTTTTTTTTTTCAAGTAAAATCAAAGATGTGCAATGAAAAATATATTTTTTGCTTGATTCGAAAACAAATAAGATGTTTTAGTTTAACTATCAAAACAAATTTAACTTTAGCAGACTTATTTTTCCTTTCGCCAAACATGATTTTTATATTATAATTACAATACAAAATAGCAAACCTTAGATCTTAAGGGAAAATGGGAGTAAAGTAAATTAAAATTCAGTTTGATGACCTCAACAATTCTTCATTCATAGGAGGACTAAAACATTGCGTGAGAATGATCAAAAACTTTAGCACGTTTCTTGCAACACATAATCGTGGTCGTACATGTTGACACGAGTGGTAATTTGAGATCTTTCGTTTATGAATGTTCCGGAAGTTTTTGTTTAAAAGGCTCGTGTAAACCATATCCCTTTAACCATATTTTTAACTTTGATCACATAGTCAAAACAACTTTAGTCACATAGTAAAAATATGCAAAATTACAGACTTTATCAAAATAAAAAAAATCATAGAGAGAAAAAAATAGAAACAAGCAATGGTATATGTCATTCCGAACTGACATCAACAGTGCAATATTGGAATCGAAGTTTTCAAAGGAATTTTGAAATTTTGAGCACTAGACACTGCAAGAGACACTTACATATTAACAATATGCAGTTTAAAATACTTTTAACTCCATCATTTAGTACCCGTTTCGTTGTTTGTTTGTTTGTTTGATTATCGTTGGTTAACGTCCCTCTCGAGAATTTTTCACTCATATGGAGACGCCACCACTTGCCGGTGGAGAGCTGCAAAATTTGACCTATACTCGGCACCCAGGGCAATTGAGCAGTGAGGGATCTTTTTCGTGCCAGCACCTACTGCAACACGGGACCTCGGTTTATACGTCTCATTCGAAGGACCGGTCTCCACTTCCCAAAATGGGATTCGATCCCGCGACGTAAGGATCAACTCCTCTACAAGGCCTACAAACGCTCTAACCACTGCGCTACGCGGGCCTTTCCACTTAGGTGCAATGACAATGTCGATAGTGTTGGAAATCTTTCCAGTCCACAGTGTAACAATGTCAATGTGATGGGACTTTTCAACCATACACAGAGACGTAATCGGTCTTACAATAAACCTTTAATACACGATGTCTCTTTTGATTCGTTACTACCTTATGTAAATCAACAGCTAGGTCTTCATCACATTCGCATCAAACTTTACTCTGTCTCTTTAAAACTTTTGAATAGTCTACTTGAAAAGGTCAAGGAAAGTCCATGTTTTATTCCTCGACACCAGAATACAGGCTCAGATCTGTGATTATGGATATTGCAAATCACAAGCTTTTTAAACCGTCACGTTTTACTGAAGAAAATGCAGCTAAAACAACCCGTTTTTTCCTTAAACTCCAATATGCCAACAAAGGAATTGACGCGGTTAATATACGTAATATTCTTAATCACAAAAGGAGCCAGTCTTGTATTCCGCCATATTTCAAGTTGAAGACTACACCTTGTATTTCCTACAAATATACATCGACTATTGCTTCCAAACTTTTTAATTACAAGAAAACTTTACAGGGCCTGGATATTGAGCATCTGATACATAATCCTCCTTCGTGTCCATGTTCATATGTCAGTTTTGAATAATTTTAATATTCCCAACAGCCAAAATGAATTTGATTTACAATGTCTATATTGGATTCCGAAACTTCATAAAAATCCTTACAAGCAAGGATACATAGCGGGTCCCAGTAAATGTTCTGCCAAGCCTCTTTCTTTACTCCTCACTAAGATATTAACAGTAGAGAAGGAGAAACTTCAAGAGTACTGTGCAACAACATATTCGAGAAGTGGTGTAAACCAGATGTGGATACTAAAACATTCCAAGGAACTTTTGGAACATTTGAAATCATAAAATTTTACCAAAATCAACAACATAAAAACTTACGACTTTTCAACTTTATATACAACTATTCCCCAAAATAAATTAAAGTCTAGACTTTCTGATATCGTTGACAGCTTCTTTTCCAATAAAAATGGAACTCGTAAATTTACTTACATTGTCACTGGTCATTTGCAAAGTTACTTTGTTAAAAACCAATCTGATTGTACACACAAGTACTCTGAAGTTGACATTAAAAGTTTCTGATTGACAGTATCTATGTGGTTTTAGGAGACCAGGTCTTCCAACAATCTATTGAAATTCCCATGGGTGCCAATTGCGCCCCGTTATTAGCAGACCTATTTTTGTATTCATATGAAGCAGAATTTGTTCAAAATCTTTTACGAAGAAAACACTTGCTGTGTCCTTCAACTCGACATTTAGATATATCGACGACGTATTGTCAATTAACAATGGCTATGTCCATTCTTATGTCGACTTGATATCTCCAGGTGAGCTTGAAATAAAAGATACCACAGAGTCTGATACATCTGTTTCAAGTTTGGATATTTTATTAGAAAAAGACGTTAATGGTAATCTAACAACAAAGCTTTATCATAAGCGTGATGACTTTAACTTTTCAATCCTCAACTTCCCTTACTTATGCAGCAATATACCCTTATCACCTGCATACGGGGTTTATATCTCTTAGTTGATTCGATACGCCAGAGCATGCTGTACGTATGAACAATTTCTAAAACGAGGTAAGTTATTGACAAACAAGTTGATGAAACAAGAATATCAGCAGTCTCGTTTAAAGTCATCATTTCGTAAGTTCTATGGTCGACACAATGACCTTGTCAGCAAATATAACCTTTCATTAAGTCAAATGCTGACTAACTTTTTTCATACTAATTGTTAGGCCATTATTTACTCACTGAATTGTCGACGGATCTTTCCGTTATTTCCCGATAATGAATAGGAGCATACGGCGGGTGTAACCGGTCGGCAGGGGATGCTCACTCCTCCATGGCACCTGATCCCACCTCTGATGTCTTAGAGGTCCGTGTTTGCTCTGCTTCTATTTTGTAATGTTTAATGGACTTTTGAGCTCAGATACTGTGCGTCATCTCCACATATTTCATATCAAAGTTTTTAATGAATCTTTAACTTTTAATTCTATTCTATTTGCATGCATCGTTTCGAAATAAAATGATTTTCGAATGATTGATTGTGAATTATTCTGCAACTAAATGTTGAAACGTTTGCAAAAACTGATCGAATATTAGAGTTCTGTCATGTATGATTTGCCATGCCAAAATACACCTAAGGACCCTCTATACACTGATGAAAAATGGTGGGTTTTTTGTTTTGTTTTTTTTTTTGACTTTAAGAAAATTATAGGAGGATTAAAGGAGGATGTTTTGAAATTAACTACATGTAGTTCATTTTTGAAATAGGGATCGTACCTTTTTATCCAGGACAATAGAGTGATGATTAAGAAAAATCGCCTTTGCTTACTCAAATGGAGAAAATACAAGCAAGTAAAGTTTTTAACTACTCTATCTTGGTCTAATATAATGTTAAGAATACTTGGATTTATTTTAAATTATGTCATACAGTGCAGATTACAATTTATTCTATTTTATGTCAAATTGTGGGTCAGTCTAACTACACAAAAGTATACCCTAAAATTAGGATGAAGTGTAGAGAAGGACCTGAAAATTTTCCTCCTGTAAATAACTTTTATTTCATAAAAGAAAAAATGTTATGTTTACTGTCCAGTCTAATAAATGCCATACGTTTTTAATAAACAATTCAAATTCATGCAAAAGGTGGGGGCGTTAACAGAAATTCTTGACAAGATAAGGAAAAAAGCAATCAGACGTTTTTGAAGGGGTATAAAACAGTGAAGATTTTTTAACGTATAGTGTATACTGGCCAAATTATTGAGGGAGCACAACTGGAAATTGGCCTTGTTTTCTATAGTAAAGTATATGCTGGCAAATTATTGGTTCATACTGTTCCTACGTACGGGCCTGACTTTAATAATCTTTTAATTAAGGCACCACTGCAAATCATCGAAATAACGATGTAACAATTAAGGACCTATCTAATCCATATTCTAAAATCTTGCTTCATAACAAATGTAATAATTTCAGTTTTTGAAATCAATTTTCATCAACCTTTAAAAAAAGTTAGTATCTAATAATGATAAAAATAAAAGGTTCATGAATTAGTTTTTAGATTACATATTTTACAGTCCTGTCTTTTGGGGAGACCCACTGCTGTTTTAAGAGCAGCATTACCTTTCTGAGTTACAGATGTTAAAAAAGCACAGCGGGTTTTTAACATCTGAACAATATTTATACTTTCTGTGTAAAATACTTCGACTGTGACTTTTGAATTCACCATGGCATGCAGATCATGTGGACGCCGAAACAGAAACACGTTAAAGTTTGGATCTAGGGGCATCAATCTTTTACTACAAAAGAGATCCGCTTCACTTCCTTTTACAGTTATAACCAAAGTCACGTGATGATTGACGTAATGACAATAAAAGTCTGCGAAATACAAGTTTATGTCAGAGTTAATCATGAACCTCACGGGAATGTGGATTCTCTGGTTTCCGTAATACGACACAGCAGGAGGTAGACCTGTTAGAGGATCAACGTTTGCACTGAAAAACAGACCATGAAGTTTTCTGTTAAGGGTTGAAGACGGATCTCCACCAAAGTTCTTTATATATTTATACATGATTCCATTTGTATTGTTGTAAATATTCAGAAAGTGTAGTATAGGTTTGCTGCGATAAAGATGTGAAATGGGAATAAATTTAGCAAATTGCTCCATGCCCATCGATGACACATGTGAACAAGCCCTTACGTATAGCATATTGACTTCTTGTGTCGTCATGTCTGTAAAAATTACATCCATTAAAGTTAAACTGAGACCCAAAATCGTTGAAAATAATCATATTTTAAAAAATAAAATTGCCATATAAAGAAACTTCATTAGCATATTACTAGAATATATACAATTTTAGATCGTTATGCACACTTAAATTACTCAAAATATAAAAATTACTCTGGATGAATGGATGTGGGGAGAGTAAGAGATTGTAAAATCAGCATCTTGATACCTACAAGATCTAAATGAGCAAAGAGTCACCCCTTTAATGAGAAAACAATTATCCTGAATTTGACATCCCCGAAATACCATTAGTTCATAATCAGAAATAGGGCGAAGCTGGAACGGGAAAGTAAACTGAGACGCCTCTGTCGTGTATAATAGTATTACTCCTGTTTCTACGTCCTTCAGAAAAATAAGACTTAGCCATTTTAGAGCATTATTTTGCCTGTTGTTATTTCGTGAGGTGGTTACGGGTATTTCAACCTGGTGATCATTGCTATTTGAAATATCACTTAGTGGTAATGATGGTACCAGACCATTGTGTAGTGATGGTACCAGACCATTGTGTAATGATGGTACCAGACCATTCCGCGCAGTTGAAGTAGAAAAAATGCACAGTTTTCGAAGTCCTTCTTGAATGTCACGTATAGAGAAGTCAAGCTGAGAGGAGACTTGTGAGGGTCCATATAATGGTGTTCCAGTCTCAGTAGTTGATTCTTTGAGGTCTGTTACAGTATATGTAGAAGGAGGCGTATGTGTGACATCTACAGAAAATGATCCCTGAAATTAAAAAAAAATATGAACGCATTTATTTTGTAAAGTTCTTATATAAGTTATAAAAATTGGGGAAAAAACAGCATGGGGATATTTCATATTCACAAGATTCGACAAAAAGCCACTTTCGAATTACTTCCCTCATCAGATTTCTTCTTCAAAAGAAAACAGTAATAGGGAAATAACTCTACGGAAAACTATTATACATATTGTGGTTAGAGAGGAAAATTACGGTTTTTCTATCGATTAAGAAGACACAATTGAAATAAAAAGCAATGTCATTAAAAAACAGTTTATAAAAAAACATTCATTAATTTAATTAAGAGTAAACAATTACCACATTTGAAGTTTCTTTCAGCACTTTAATAAGTTCCTTTCCATCTCTGCAATCTAAAAGCATAATTATTACAGAATTATTAACTGTATATCTGCATAATTATTACAAGTTTATTCTTCAGTATATTAACAGGTTTTTTTTAATGCTTTTTCATTGTTTTACTGCTAATAGTTTCTTTTTATAACTATTAAAGTTTTTTTTTTTTTTTGGTTTATTAAACGTCCCTTCGAGAATTTTTCACTCATATTGAGACGCCACCACTTGCCGATGGAGGGCTGCAAATTTAGACCTGTTCTCGGCTCTTACAGCTTTGATCAGTGACGAATCTTTTTCTAGAGCAAATGCTCTTATCACTGCGTCACGCGGGCGACAACTTTTACAGTAAATTAGAGTAGAAACGATTTATTAATAAAATTTTGAAAAAAGGATGATTACTCTTTCTATCAAATACAGTACATTGCATAATCATTTATTCATTATTGTAGATTAGCGAAATGTGTGTTTAACTCAAAATGTTTCCATATATTTTATGAATTTTAAGAACAAAAAAAGAAAGAAAGATTGTAAACGTGTTTGTACCACCAACCCTTCCATAAAATAAGGTTATATAAGATTAATTCGAATAAGTGATTTCACCTATTCAAAACGAATAGGTGATATCACCTATTTGAATAGGTGATATTACCTATTCGAATTGATGATATCACCAATTCAAATCAAATAGGTGATATCACCTATTCGAATATCACTTATAATAGTTAATATCACTTATTAACTATTATTAATTATTAATAATTATTAATACTGTTCGTTATCTCCATATATTTCATTATTCCAATAGGTGATATCAACAACTGAATAAGTGATATCACCCATTCGAATAGGTGATATCACTTAGTGGCAATAAAATACCAAAACGGCCCCTCATAATAATCATTCAACCATGACTCTGGAATGCTCGACATGAGTACGAGTAAATTGCCCATGAGCTTCAGATTGGAAGTCATGTAGTTGGAGATTTGGATAAGTTGAACCATTTTTGCAATTTCCAGTGATTGTCTTGAAAACGTCCAGTGAGAATTTGAACAAATTTTGACCCTAAAAGCTCCCATGTCTTACTGAAATTCTAAGAGAACTGGTTATTGCCTAGGTAATGAAAGGTCACCATCAGAATGAAATTGCTGAGCAATTTAACGTGTCCAAATCCACTGTAACGCAGCTAGAACGAAGATTCATGTTAGCAGAAGCGTTAAAGACCGTCCAAGAAGCTGGCGTCTTTAGGGGGCAACGGGACTTCCGGACAAAGAAATCCGTTTCATCCACCGATGGAACAGGTCTACTGCAAATGAAAAGGCTAGTAACATTCCTGGACGCCAATGCCAGAATCAGAGAGAAAACGGTATGCACTAGTCTCATAGAGGTGGGCCTCAAAGCACACAGGTCACCCTTTAATAACCACGTTCCACATGAAAGAACGCCATGTTGCAAGGGTATGCCGAGATTTCCATGTGACCAACAACGCACGGGCACAGAATGGTCATCATGTAGTCCCGAATTGTCTCCAGCTGGGCAAGTATTGTACAAAATAGATCGAAAAATTTGACTTCTATGTCCGATTTCAAACGCCACTAATTACTAATGAGCTGAGGCAAGCACTTACGGAGGCGTGAAAACTCAACCCTATCCGAATTAAAGGTGGTTGAGCATACGTACTATATTCTTACTCGTAAAGAGGGTGTTGCAGAAACTCGTGATTATTCCCTATATCGAGAAGGGCATTTAAATACCCACGACGCATGAAGAGTTATCTCTAAATATAGATAATGCTACGTAGATGACTTTATTTATACGATGGGTATGTCCAGCTTGTTATAACAAAACGTTTAACATTTTACGTTTATTTCATGCATAGTTTTTTCCTAACATAGACTGGCGACCTGTAAGTAAACTTTTTTCACATCTATGGTCACTGTCGCCATATTGCACCAGAAAAGTTAGAACGATAAAAAGCCACACAATTAATGGCAAGTGCACCTCGCACATCATTTTGATAGATGTACTGTGGACAGCATGCATTAATATTTTTTCAATATATAAAAATGTGTTCAATAATCACGCTGTTGATGCAATATCCAAGAAATTCCATTGAGTCTTTCAATTTAGTTGTTTCAAGTCAAATCTGTGCCACTAATTAACAGAACAATAATGAAACGAAATGCGGATGAAAAAAATTAAATTCTTTAAAATGATAGTACTTTATTTTTTAAGACATTGCCACTAAATAAAAACATTAAATATATGTCTTATTAGTTTTAGATCACAAATCAAGGAAAACAATTTAATTCTGCATGCATTTAAAATATTACCCATTATTTTTCTGACATTCTCTCCCTCTCTCTTTCTCTCTCAAGAGAGATGTTACATTGTACTTCCATTATTTAAAAAAAAAATATGTAAATTTATACCAGCCATTCCAGGATTCGAACCCATTCTCAGGTAAAAAGAATCTTTGCATAGAGTCCACACGCTTTACCACTAGACCAACTCGACAATGAACCATTGTTTGCTATTGTATGTGCACATTTTACATTTTAGATGGATAATAATTTTTATTCGATTTTTGTGATTTTCAAAAATATGCCTCTTTGAAACAAAAATCAGAAATGGCAGTTTTGAAGGAAAATCCTGTCTCTTTATGCATATATCAAATTCATTCTGTTTCAAGGAAGCAATTTTTCAGAGCAATGGGGATTCCCTATTTGAAGAACAGAAAACTTGACTTATTTTGCTATGTGACTAATTTACACTTCATTTAATGGCAAATTGGAAATCGATATGCAGTTTCTAAATATTGTTCTACATTGTGCTGTATATACCGTTGTATCTGAAAAAAAATTAAGACCGTTTTCTGTTACTTAATTTTTTTCTTTTGAACTGCTACAACTTTAGGGAAAATAACAAAAGAACTGCAACACCCTCTTTGATTTGGCGGTGAGGAAGCAGCATTTCCGGTTGAACACCGTAACATAAGCCGGCTATTGCTCTACGAGCAATGAGCCCGGCTAAAAATCAACAACAAGATCAATTTTACACTCAAAATAATACCAGCTGCTGTAAATGCAGGATGAGGACACACGCGATTTGACTTTTGAAACTTTGAATTTTAAAATTCTGAACGCTGCTCCCTATAATCAATAGCTGCGGTGCTGAAAATATCTTTTATGCTTTCATTAATGACAATTATGAATGAAATATTACGTAAAATTGTATTTGGCTACCATCGTGTATATACTAATATATTTAGGTATGCGTTTCTTTTTCCTTTCAGTATATTTATGAAAGAGTGAACAGATTTATCCTTGCTCCATGTATGTAATTTTGCAAGTGTGAAAGTAGGAAGAAGCAGACCTTGAAATAATGCTTCACATGTGTAATCGTTGACATCCGGGGAGAGGTTGACGTGTAAAGGAACAGTCAAAACAAGTGAACGTGATGTTTTACTTCCGTCATCTAAACTGAAGTGCAAAATCAAAGATCGTGTGCTTTTCTCTGTTATTTGTAAAGGAATCCATATAGGTACATTCTGTGTATGTAGTTTTACAAAGACTTCTTTTTTGAAATGTCGTGATGTAAAAACAACTTTCTTGTCATAAACCTAAAAAGAAAATCAAAGTATATTTTTAAAGAACATTTAAAGAGACAAAACGGTGGGTTGGGGTTAATTTATTTTGCATGTAAAGTATAGTAAGTTGTCGTCCGTACTTTGTTCTCTCAATCAATTTTAAGATATTTCTGCTTTAACACTTAAAATGATTATGAAATGTTCCATATCAAGATTCATTTTAAATGCTAGGGATATCTGATAACAAATGTAGTTCAATACAATAAATCGATACTTTTCCTTTAAAAAAACACACTGAACAACAAATTCATGTATCGTCTTACCGTATTCGCCATTTATGCTTCACAACTTTATCTAGAGACAGATCTTAATGAACTTTGTCCTTGTAATTCAAACAGTACACATAAATGACGCAACATGGCTTCTAGTCAATAGCCTGCCATATTTTTTTTCTTTTTAAAACAGACATGGGCAGGCTAACGCATGCGTGCAACATTTTTTTTTTCAGTTTAAGTATACCTGTGCATTTTGATATCATGTGCTTTTATAGATGTGGGGCGCATTCAAGTCAAACTTTTGCATTTATTTCCTCAATCACATGAATTCAGAAATTGGATTTTTAGGTCATGAGTCACTCAGGTGACCTATTGCTGTATGTTTTTGTCCGTCGTCGTCCGTCGTTCGTAAACTTTTGAACATTTTCAGCTTCTTCTCTGAAACAGTTAACCAATTTCAACCAATTTTGGCATATATCTATTGGTGAAGGGGAACAAAAATTGTGAGGGTGGGGCTAAAACCATCAAAATTAATGCAATCTTTTAAAATCTTCTTTACTCTTGGACAGCAAGCAATTCAACTGTTGGCATGATTGTAATATTTAAGCATTGAGCCCTCTACCAAAATCGTGAAATTCATGACCCCAGGGTCAGGGATTCAGGTGCTATAATAGGGCAGGACTCTGTTGAATATATAGTGAAAATGCATTATTCCTTAAAAATCTTCTCTGCTCTTGCGTATTCACCAAACAAACAAAATGCATAGTTAAGATGAACAAGGGTGTTTCTAAATTGTGAATTTCATGATCCCTGGGTCAGGGATTCTAGTTTTTGGGCGGGGCTTCGTTGGATACCGACGGGTGATCTCGTCTTTAACTTATCAATAAGTAAAAGACGAGATCACCCGCTGGTATTCCACGATGGGGGCGGGGATCTATTGATTAGAGGGAAAATGCATTAATTCCTTAAAAATCTTCTCTGCTCCTGGATATTAAGCCGATGAACTGAGTCCATGGTTGTGAAAAGCAAGGGTGCCTCTTCCAAAATTGTGAAATATATGGCCCCTGGGTCAAGGATTTGGTGTGCGTGTGGAGGTGGGGATTCTTTTGATGATAAATTGAAAATGGCTCAATGCTTTGAAAATTTTCTCCTCTGTTTCTGGGTATTCAGCAAACAAACTTAATGCATAGTTATGATGACCAAGGTTGCCTCTTCCAAAATTGTGAATTTCATGGCCAAGGGGTCAGAGGTTCTGGTGTAAGTGCAGGGCTCTATTAATTATATAGTAAATATGCATTAATTCTTCGAAAATCTTCCTCTCTGCTCCCGGGTTTTAGGCTGATGAACTGAGTACACAGTAATGAAAAGCAAGTGTGCCTGTTCAAAAATTGTGAAACGTGTGGCACCGGGTGTAGGGATTCAGGGGGTGGGGTGGTGGTGGTGGCTCTATTGATTACATAGTGAAAATAAATTAATGCTTTGAAAATCTCCTCTGTTCCTGGGTACTCAGCAAACAAACTAAATGCATAATTATGATGAGCAAGGATGCCTCTTCCAAAATCGTGAATTTCATGACCCCTGGGTCAGAGGTTTGTAAGGTGGAGGCTATGTTAATTATATAGAGAAAATGCATTATTTGAAAATCTTTCTCTGTTCCTGGGTATTAAGAAAACAAACTAAATGCATACTTATGAAGAGCAAAAATGCCTCTTCCAAAGTTGTGAATTCCTTAAGCCCTGGGTCAGAGGTTCTGATGTTAGGGTGGGGCTCTATTGATTATATAGGAAAAATGCATCAATTCTTTGAAAGTCTTCTTCTCTGCTCCTGGATATCCAGCAGATAAACCAAGTGCACAGTTATGATGAGCAAGGGTGCCTCTTTCAAACTGTGAAATGCGTGGCTCCTGAGTCAGGGGTTCCTGTGGGGTGGGGACTCTATTGATTATATAATGAAAATGCATTATTTCTTTGATCTGCTCTTGGGTATTAAGTAAATAAACTAAGCATATAGTTATGATGAGCAAGGGTGCCTCTTCAAAAATTATGAATTTCATGGGCCCTGGTTCATGGAGTGTTAGGGCGGGGCTCTATTGATTATGTAGTTAAAAAACATTCTTTGAGAATTTTCGACCATAGTTATGATAAGCAAATGGATCTCTTTCAGGCCTCTTTTTTTTATTTTATACTTCTGTGGATCCTTTACAGTGTTGTATAATACTCAGGCGACCAATAAGGCCCTTGGGCTCTTGTTACATATTTTAATTTATATACTAGTTGTTTTACTATTTTTTATTTGCAGTGTTTTAATTCACAATGCATTTCTATGAAACACTGATAGTGATCTTTTAGCTAATTGTATTAATTAAACTTGGAAATAATTGTACAAAATAAACTCATCCCCAAATCTGCATCTTAATGTCCAATTTTATTAGGTCTTTTCCTCTCCCTAAAAGAAGTTGTTATTCATATGCAAAAACTTATGATACTATTCCTATCCTAAACAGTTGGATAACCCCAAATAAAGTCAATCAAAGGAAGTCAATGCATATCCTTAAAATTATCTTATCAATATGGTATAACGCATCAGAAACTTTGAAGTTGTATGGTACTACACATACAATATATATTGAAAGTTGTCATTCTAAAAAAAACCTCGGACTACACCACTGTCCTGATGCATGACAGGGCAACAGCAGCATAATGAGGCAGAAAAAATTTAAGATAGCGAAGTTTAACTTTGAAAGCTTCCGCAGACTTTTCTGTCTTCCTCACTTTTAATATTACAAAGTTCTTTCCTTCAAACCCAAATTTGTTTTGCTAGATAAAAAAAGATTGAGTCTTGTTTTATTAAATATGACATACTAGTGGTAACAAAATGTATGAAAACAATGCTAATCTGTACTGTCAGCCATCAAGAGGTGTCAAGAGATTTAACACAGTCCAATGACAATCCAGTGGCCATCTTATGTATAAGTTACACAAGGAAACTAAAATTAATCTTCTTTCAGTGTAATAACTTTGTCAGATTTCTGTGATTGTTGTTATTTTTCAGGCTCCTTAAGTCTCTATTTGTACTGTAGATTTGACTGTTTTTGCCAGGTTTCTAGGTTGCTGGTTTTCTTTCTGTGCTGGATATTTCACTGTTTTTGCCAGGTCTCTAGATTTCTCTCTCTCCGTGGTGCAGATTCTATTGCTTTAGCCAGGTTTCTAGATTCTCTATCTGTGCTGTAACACTTGCTTTTCCTGTTCCTCCATATACACTATACTGATCTACAGACTTCTCATAATCCCAGATAGACAGGATATCCTCAGTACACTGCTCACTGTAAAACCATCAACATGTAAACCCAGCAATAAAACAACCATAATTACTTTTTTTCATGTTCAAGTTAATATGATTTATATGAATAGTTCTACCTGACAGATTTGAAGTCTTGCAGAGTCAGATCTGATAAAGAACATTGCTTCTTTTCAGCCAGCGCCACACACATTCCTGATAAACCATGAGCCTCCCGAAATGGGATCTACAACGTAAATGATATACTAAATTGGCAATTTTTTTTTTGGGGGGGGGGGGTTAACCATTGCAAACCATCTACATTTTATATTTCTCAAGCAAAGGATCTTCACAGGTTAAGCCAGTGTAACGTAGAATATTGACCCGGGTTGAAAATTGACCCGGGGTTCATTTTTTAACGTTGAATATTGAACCGGGGGTGCTTTTCTCCGTTGAAAATTGAAACCAAAGTAGTGGAATTTATACCCGTGGTCATTTTTCAACATATTGGCAATTTATTTTTTCGGCACTTATGACATAAACGCGTTGAAAATTGACCCTGTTGTATATTGACCCCCGACTACAGCGTTGTGCCTTGTGTTCGATCTGGAAGTTGTTATGCAGGATTTATACGTACTTGTAACTTCTAATATATTTCTCAGTTTCATAATTTGAATTTCCTCTATCATATAAATAGATCGGACTGAAATCAGGAAACCTATTGCATCCCGAAAATACAGTTGTTGTTCAGTACACCTTATATCTTATTTCATGGTTGTCTTTGACAAAAGTTATTGAAGAAGTACGTATTGTTCTAGAATGACCATCTAAAGGACTCCTTTACCCCCCCCCCCCCTCCCTTTTCAGGAGTCTATTATGATATACTACTCATTATAAATTGCCGCCTAGGAAAAAAATGCCTGAGTTTATTTTTTCCTGAATACTGGACAAGATGTGACAGAATTTTTTCTTGTATCGATTAAACAGCTGTATATACACATATATATATACGACAATAGAACAGAAAAAATACACGACAAAAATAACCAGTTTTACAGTATTTACAGCAGAATTAATATCCATGTATAACTATGTTTTACCTACACATTTCAAGGACATCTAATTAGCGATCTGCTAGAAAAACTTGGACTTAGTCCTTTTTTTTCGGAAATTCAACTTAAACTCAAAGATGTACTCTCTAAGGTTGGAATTATCACTCTTCAGTCTTTAAATGGTCTTAACATTTCAGTCAACGAAAGTGAATTCGATTTATCCTATCTATGCTGGATTCTTAAACATCAGGAAAGTCCTTTCAAAGATACATGCAGGTTCCAGCAAATGCTCTATCAATCCCATATTTTTACTTCTCACAAAAATATAAACTGCTGTGAAGGAGAAAGTTAAGAAGCACTATGCTTCAACATATTCATAAAATTGTGTAAATCATATAAATTACGGATTTTAAAATCTCTTAAGAACTTTTACATTTGTAAAACATTTAAAATCACTTTTTTTCAAAGTAAAAACACCAAAACGTACGATTTTACAACACTTTATATAGCCATTCCTTATGATAAATTAAAAATTAGGTGTTTTGATATCAGAACGGCTTCTTCAAGAAAAATGGAACTTGGGAATTTTCTCGTGACTGGTCATTATACAATTTTAAAATTTGTAATTTAAAAAAACCAGTCTTCTTCAACGAAGAAGTACTCTTAAGGTTGATGTTAAAAATTTGCCGGAGTTCCTTTGGAAGACAAGTCTTCCAACAGTCAGTTGGAATTTCGATGGGACGAAATTGTGCTTCTTTATAAGCACACCTGTATGTTTCTATCATCCTGTGAAGCAGGTTTTATTCAA